TAGGAAGGAATGTGCTCTGGAGTGAATTTATATTTTATAAGATGGAATAGGCCATTTTCATGCCCCATTCACTCAGGCCTGTTCTCTATCTGTATTCTGATATCACCTAAGCATCTGTCCACTCAAGGGTATCATCCAACTTGGACAGGCCAGCCCGTGTAAACCACACTTTCCAGTTGCCTGGTTATCATTACTAATGTATCAGAATGCTTTCTGAGAACTTCTGTGCATCTTTCAAACCAGTGAACCACAGTTTTCTTATTCGATGTCTTGTCTCTAGAAATTAGCCTTCTTGTTTAATGTGATCCTTTTCCTCTGCCTCACTCTAGTTCTTCATGGCCTCCACTGTTTGCTGCACATCGGCTACTGTCATTGATGCTTCAGGCAGTGATTCGGAATATTTATTAAGAAGTTTTCTCTGGGAGATCTTTTGTCCTGGTCTTCAGTAACCCAAAGTTTTGGGAAATAGCAAATGAGTCTAGGAACTTAACTTAGCCTGACCCTGGGATGTCAAGGTATATATAAGATATTTTAATACAAGTGTTGTCAAGTTAAGCAGAGGAAGACCAGGTTCTTGAGTTCCATTATTATGATACTATTAAACTATTAAACTTCCCATAATAGTGTTGAAGATCACATGATGACTGATTTTCTAAGAGACTCAACAGTATGTTGGAATCACTATTGTTGATAGCTGGTGAACACACACACACACACACACACACACACACACACACACACACACAAACTCATGGCCCAAATATTCTTCCACTGTTCCTTTCTGAACCTTAAATATGACCTGGGTCCAGACACTTCCATTTCTTTTCTTTTCATTCTATCATTAAAATACATTTCCTCTTCAAGCGTTTTTCTGAATAATTTTAGGTTGAAAATTCCCCTAAATTGCTTTTTACCTAAACAGGAAGCTCCCAGGGTTTTCCAATTACTTGCTATTCCATGTCATGTATAATCATATTATATAAGTAACTTTAGGAGTGTGAACTGGGGTTGCCAGAGTCTGAATTTTTGTGTCCCACAAAATTAATATGTTGAAATACTAACCACCAAAGATGATGGAATAAGAAAGTGAGGTCTTTGGGAGGTGGTTAGGTCATGAGGATGAGGCCTTCATGGATGGGATTAGTGCTCCTACAAAAGAGACCCCACAAAGGTCCCTCACCCCTTCTACCATGTAAGGACACTGTAAGAAGTCTATGACACAGAAGAGGACTCTTACCTGACTGGGACGGCACCATGATCTTGGATTTCCAGCCTCCAAACCTGTGAGAAATATATCTGTGTTGTTTATAGACACTCATTTGGTGGTATTTTGTTATAGCAGCCTGAACCAAGATGGAGTTTGTCTATAAATACCATCATCTTTTTTTTAAAGTTCATTTTGAGAGAGAGAGAGAGAGAGAGAGAGAGAGAGAGAGAGAGAGAGAGAATGAGAGAGAAAGAGAGAGAGAATGAATCCCAAGCAGGCTCTGCACTGTCAGTGCAGAAGCCAACAGATGAGTGGATCTGGCTCACGAACCATGAGATCATGACCTGAGCTGAAGTCGGACACTTAACCAGTTAAGCCACCCAGGCACCCCTATAAATACTATCATCTTGAAGGAACCTAAAATTTCTATACATGTTATCCTTAATTATCTGCCATAGTAATATTTTCAAGATTATAATGATTTCTTTCCAGCTTAATCCAAAGCATGTCATTTGATCTTTATGTCTTTTCTTTGCAATTCTTAATATTATTCACCATTCTTTTCAATCTTGTGAAAAAATTTTCCCTAATAAATGGTTTCCCTGTTTTTTTCCCCACCTCTCTGATTTTTTTTTTCTCCTCATGTGGGGACATCAGTTTTGGGTTTGTTTTGTTTGTTTGTTTGTTTTTAAATAATTACTCAAATGTGGAGCATCCAGGTACCAGGACGTATATGAAATCATACAGGGCTCTTCTTAGGCCTTGGCACATAATGAAATTTGACATGCAAGATTTTAAATTTGCCTGGGGTCAATGATACCTGTATTCCTTTTAATTTCTCCCTTTTGGAATGGTAATATCTATCTCATACCTGTCCACTTTGGAAGCAGAAATTTTTTGTTTCTAAAAAGTTTGTTACTAAGATGGATAGAGGAGATTTTTTTGCTTCAGAATGATCCATACCTAGAATTTTACCCTGCCTTAATTTAGATGATGAGACTGGGGACTTTTGAGCTTATGGTATTTAGGTAAGGTTTTTGAACATAAAATTAATGCTTTAAAAGCTTGAGACTTTGGGAGATTTTTGTATTGGGTGAATGTGTTTTGCATGTGGGATGGATTTTAATTTGGGATGGCCAGTGAGAGGATTTCATTGTGTTTAATGGCGGCTCCCCAAAAATGTGCTCACGTGAAACCTATGAACGTAGCCTTATTTGGAAAAAGTTTTTACAGATCTTATTAAATCTGATTAAATTATTTTTAGATAATATCATCCCATATTATGTGGCTGGGTCTAAATCCAATGACAAGTGTTCTTATAAGCAAAAATCATGAAGATACTTGAGAGACAGTGAGTAGAAGGCCTTGTAAAGAAAGAGGCAGCTTGAGAGCTCCTGGGTGGCTCAGTTGGTTGAGCATCCAACTTGGTTGAGCTCAGGTCATGATCTCACGGGCTGTGGATTCGAGACCCACATTGGGCTTGCTGCTGTTAGCATGGAGCCCACTTCTGATCCTCTGTATCCCCTCTCTCTCTGCCCCTCCCCTACTCACAGCTCTCTCTCTGTTTCTCAAAAATGTATAAACATTAAAAAAAAAAGGAGGCAGCATGAAGTTATGTATTGCAGGAGCCAAGTATTGCCTGGAGCCTCTAAAAATCTGGATGAGGAAAGAAAGGATTCTCCACTAGAGACTTTGGAGAGAGTGTGGGCCCTGCCAACAACTTGATTTCAGATTTCTGACATCCGAACTTTGAAAGAATCAATCTCCATTAGTTTTTTGTTTTTTGTAATTTTAAATTTTTATTATTGAAATATAATTGATATACAATGTCATATTAGTTTTAGGTGTACACCATAGGTTCAACAATTCTTTATGTTAAGCAATGCTCATCACAATGAGTGTAGTTATGATCTGGGGGACCTCAGTTCTTCTTCTTTTTTTTTTTTTTTTTTAGAAAGAAAGAGGGAGCACAAGCTGTAAAGGGAGATAGAATCTTAATCAGGCTTTGTGCCCAATGCGGAGCTTGATGTAGGGCTCAATCTTACAACCCTGAGACCATGACCTGGCCCAAAACCAACGGTCGAACACTTAACTGACTGAGTCACCCAAGTGCCCCGGGACCTCAGTTCTTGCTTATCAGCTTTAATTTCTCCAGAATCTCACCCTGAGATTTGGGAGTTTTGTACCATTGCTGTGTAGATGACTTTGTAATCTGCTTCTCCAACTTAGTTCTGTAGCCTTTATCCTGCTGTTTTCTTAAGATCAGCATATACCAAATGTAACCCATCATTTCTCCACCCAGATTTTTTTTTTGTTTTGATTTGTCCATTTCTTTTTTTTTTTTTTTTATGTTTATTTCTGAGAGGGGGGCAGGGCAAAGAGAGTAGCAGTCTCTGTGTGAGAGCTCAAACTCATGAACGCTGAGATAATGTCCTGAGCTGAAGTTGGATGCTTAACCAACTAAGCCACCCAGGCACCCCTTGATTTGTCCATTTCTGAGAAAAATTAAGATTAAAATTTAGGTTAATGTGGACTGATATGGTAGCTGACAAAATTAGAAGAAAGGAATGTACTTGCAAGAATTTTCCAGGGAATAAATATAGGATTTAATGACTGGTGAGATATAAGGAATGATTCAAAGATAAAGACATTATTAGTAGCCTAAGCATGTCTTCAGTGTCCTGGAAATAGGCTCCACATCACTTTTGACTCCACAGTTTGTTCACACCTTACCTCCTTTCCCCAACCAGCCAATGTACTTTTAAAAAACAGCTCTGTTTTATTTTTATCTTCTACCAAGCCATCATAGCTGTAGAATTTTGTTAAAAGAATGAGTAAATGCAATGAATTGATCTCACTTTCAACTTTTCCTGAGGAGATTGATGTGAACTTCCAGTGGCTGCCAGCTGCTTTGAAAGCTCATTCTCTCAATTCAGGTCTCTGCTGACAACTTTTGGAGGCCATTGTTTCCAATTTGTGGTGAGAATATAAAATCCACGTGATTCTTTCAGCAGCCCCCCATCTATGTCAGAATGTTTGGAAACACAAACATTCCAGGTCTTGGTTAACCCCTGCTGAGAGGTCTGACCCTCTTCTGCCATTTCTAGCTCTGTTCATCCCTTCACCAGGGCACTATGTGGCCCCTGTGGTGGGCATCAACACAGCCCCCCAAAGATGTCTACACTCTCATCCCAGTAACCTGTGAATATTATAGGTTACATGGCAAAAAGACTTTGAAGATATGATTAATCTTTTGTTGTGGGAAATATCCTGGATTAACCAGGGCACCTAGTATAAGCACAAGTGTCTTTATAAGGGAAGAGGAAAGCACAAGAGTCAAAGGAGGAGATGTGATAATGGAAGCAGAGGTCAGAATGGTATTGCTGGAAGGAGACCACCAGCCAAAGAATAAGGCCAAGCCTCTAGAATCTGGAAAAGGTAAGAAACAGATTTCCCACTGGAGCTTATGGGAGACATGTAGCCCTGTAAGACTGGTTTTTGGATTTCTGAAATCCAGAACTGTAAGATAATAAATTTGTGCTGTTTTAAGCCTCTAAGTTTGGGATAACTTGTTATAGCAGCTGTAAGAATCTACTAATCCCCTAAACCAATATTCTTCAGCACTGTTACCCTAGTCATTGCTTAAGACTCACCCTTCTAGGGGCGCCTGGGTGGCGCAGTCTGTTAATCGTCCGACTTCAGCTCAGGTCACGATCTCGCGGTCCGTGAGTTCGAGCCCCGCGTCAGGCTCTGGGCTGATGGCTCAGAGCCTGGAGCCTGTTTCTGATTCTGTGTCTCCCTCTCTCTCTGCCCCTCCCCATTCATGCTCTGTCTCTCTCTGTCCCAAAAATAAATAAACGTTAAAAAAAAATTAAAAAAAAAAAACTCACCCTTCTGTTTATCCATTTTCCTTCAGACTCTCATCCTTTCACATTGCTTTGTACTTCCTCTGCTCATCTAACCTCCCACTGATTCTCTTCTTCTCAAAACTTTTCAAATCCTGTAAATTCTCTAGACTTTCTGTTACGTTGCACAAAACCTCCCCTGTGTTCTCAGGCTCTCCACCAAATATGTTCCCTAACTGCTAGCTTTAACTGTGAAATGCTCTTTCCTGAGGACACCAACATCCCTGAAATTCCCTCAAGAAGATGCCTTTATCTTTCTTACATTTCCAAGTATCTCACTTCCAAAAATGTATAGCTTGTCAAACATTACACTTCTATCCTGTGTAAAAATCCCTGGTCCTTACAGACTACTCATGATATTTGGCCACATCACTCTTGATTTCTTGTCATTCTCATTTTCTAGCCTCATGGTTACTTCCTCCTCATTTATTGAAGATTTTAACCCTGGGTCAGTGAATCGTATCTCTGTCCCAAGCTCTGTTGTCATCTTGGGGATTTGAGAATTCTTAAGAACAATGTAGCCTCACCAATCCATTTCTTGATCTCTTATACTCCAGTAACCTTCATCTCCACTCTAGCCATTAATTTCCAAGGGCATATTCTGGGCCTTTTCATCACTTAGAATTTCTCCTCCTCTGAAATCCTGCATTCAAATATAGTATAAAAAACTAAGTCAAAAAATTAAACATACAAATAACCAGAATGTATTATCTAGCCCCACGACACCCCACCTCAAAGGAAATATCTGTTCTTCTCATGATGCCTGGTTTAGTAAATGGTAACACCATTCACACATGTGTCTAAGATATCACGTGGGTACTGTCTTTAATTCTTTTTAAGTGTATTTCTTTATTTTGAGAGAGAGAGAATGAGCCAGCAGGGGAGAGGCAGAGAGAGAGAGGGAGAGAGAGAATCTCAAGCAGCCTCTCTGTGCTGACAGCAAGGAGCCCGATGTGGGACTCCAACTCACGAATCATGAGATCATGACCTGAACCAAAACCAAGAGTTGAACGCTTAACTGACTGAGCCCCCCAAGCGCCCAGGTACTGTCTTTAAGTCCACCTCTGTCTCCCAATTTTCACATCCAGTCAGTCACTATAAACTCCTGCGGAGTTTAACTTAATCTCTGAAGCCTGTCCTTTAATCTCCAGCCCCATCATCATTACACTAAATAAACTTTCTTCTGGATCACTGCTGATTTCTAATTGTTCTCTCTCCAACTGACTCTCAATACCCCTTAAACTCAATTCTTTACAGAATTTGGGTGATCTTTCTGAAATATGTTACAATCATGTTACTTCTCTGCTTAAAATGTTTCAAGAGTTTCCCATTGCCTTTGTAATAAAGTTCATCTTAATGTATCTTTAATGACTGACTGCTGCTTACCCAGGTAGCTTCATCTGGTGTACCTGCCACGTACTGTCTTTTCTCCCCTACCACCGTTAAACAAAGTCATTCTAAAGTGGTGAATTACTTTAAGTTTACCAAACTAATGTTGCTGTTGGTGTCACTTTGAAGCTTTTCTACATGCTGTTCTCTCTAGCAATAACTCTGTTTCACACCTTTTCTTATCTGATGGCATCATATGTCCTTTGGATCTTAGAGAGCCAGTTGCTTTTTCTGAAAAGCCTTACTTTATTTCACATCCGGCATCCTCATCTCATCATTGAAAAAGGCTCCTTTTTCATGGAGCAACCTGTACATATATCTGCTGTAGCACTTGTCATTCTCTACAACAACTCTCTCTTGAGTTATCTCTTCAACTAGTTCATAAACTTGAGGAAGCACTGTGTCCTTTTTGGTCATGAAGCCTCAATGCATGACATAGACAATCCGTAATTTTTACTGAAGTAACAGATTAACTAAGTATAGATTTGTGTTCCTAGATACACTATCTCTTATTTTCTTTATTAATTTGGGGCTTCTTGTATTTATCCTAATTGGAGCTAAACTTGACATCTAGATTAAATAATGTCTTTTTAAAAACTTTTTTTAAATGTTTATTTATTCTTGAGAGACAGAGAGACAGAGCATGAGCAGGGGGGGAGCAGAGAGAGAGAGAGAGAGAGAGAGAGAGAGAGAGAGAGAATGTGAAGCAGTCTCCAGGCTCTGAGCTGTCAGCACAGAGCCTGATGCAGGACTCAAACTTGTGACTTGTGAGCAGTGAAGTCATGACCTGAGCTGAAGTCTGACACTTAACCAACTGATCCATCCAGGCACCCCCGTTAGTGCTTTAAAATAAATTCATCAGGGGCACCTAGGTTGCTCACTTGGTTAAGTATCTGGCTTCAGCTCAGGTCATGATCTCATAGTTCATGAGTTTGAGCCTGTGTCAGGCTCTGTGCTGACAGCTCAGAGTCTGGAGCCTGCTTCTGTCTCTCTCTCTCTCTCTCTCTCTCTCTCTCTCTCTCTCTTTCCCTCTGCCCCTCCCCAACTTGTGTTTTCTCTCAATCTCACTCTCTCTCTCTCTCTCAAAAATAAATAAGATAAACATTTAAATAAACATTTAAGTAAATAAATAAATACATAAACAAATTTATTCATTATTAGTCACAGGATCAATTTACATGCTTTTTGAAAAATTAGAGTACATACATTTGTAAGATATGTGAACACATAAACTTGCAATAACTGTAGTATCTTCTAGACTTGAGAACTGCTCATAGTTTGAGAACCTTTTGATAATCATTAAGATCCATTCTACCATTAACAGTCTCTGGTTTTATTAGTTTAGGTAATTTCCATTCACTAGTTAGACAAGAGCTTCTCCCTCTCCTTAATTCAGCATTTCCTAAATTTTGTACCATGGAAATCTAATGGTTGATTGAAAAAAGGTATTTCAGAATAAGCAGTTTTTAGAAATGCACATTACATTAAATAAGCATTAAATTTTTTAATGTTTATTTATTTTTGAGAGAGAGAGAGAGATAGAGACAGAATGTGAGTGGGAGAGAGACAGAGAGAGAGGGAGACAAAGAATCCGAAGCAGCTTCCAGGCTCTGAGCTGTCAGCACAGAGTCTGACACGGTGCTTGAACTCACGAAATGTAAGATCATGACCTGAGTCAAAGTTGGATACTTAACTGACTGAGCCACCCAGGCGCCCTGGGAAATGCACATAGTATTATCCTCTTAGAGATGCTTCATGTGTATAAAGGCTCTGAAAAATACTACAGTAAAGAAATTTTTTACATGATTCAATCCAGCATTTCCCAATGTTATTTGTCAATGGAGCAGTTTTTTCCCCCAATGGAACACTATTAACATATGATATCTTGGAGCACTGATTTGAGAAAACATGATTTGCTACATGTTACATGTTACTACTGGGTGGGGCACTCTCGGCCAAGGGGACAAGAGATCCAAGAGCACCACATACCACTGATTTTTGTAGGCATTATGTATTTATCATCAGCTGGGGACCAATGCTGAGTAGATGTGCATGGCAGTATGAAAGATTTTGATCTGGAGACGTGGCCACCCATGCAAATCACATACTCACTGAACCAAATTCAGGGCATTGTAGAAATACTGAAAAATCCATTTGACCTCCCAGTGTAGTTGCAAGTCTTTCTGTCCTAAAGATATAACCATGCTTTGCAGTTTCTCAGATGCTGACCCTTAAGAAGTGCAGTTTGCACGAGGAGGCTGATTCTATGCCAGCAGAGAAACACTACTTTCAATGTGATGTGATGAGTTTTCTGCACAGATACCTCTGTAGTCTTTGGCATCCCAGCCTGTACTAATCCACCACGTTTGCCAGAATAAGTGCAGAGGATCTCAGTAATGTCCCTGGTTCAGCACAGACATACTTAGTATCCAAGGCAGGCTCGAGAAGAGATGAGGAAATTCTTCTGGGCGTAGCCCTAAGGTCAACAAATTGGAAAAAGCCACAACTCACCCTTGGGAAGGATTAAATACGCTGACATCCTCCAAATTGATTTACCTAGATCAGACCACATGTTAATGAGGCAGGCAAGTTACTCTAATTCATCGTTAGTATTCTAAATGCAGAGACCTTTTCACATTAAAGGGGTGGGACCACGGATTCAAATGAGCATTGCTTACTTAGGGCTTGTCACTCACCCTGCCTGGACCAGTGTCCTCAGAGCCATTTACAATCTTTGTCCTCTGAACTGCACCAAAAAGAACTGGACATTCAAAGAACACAGCTCCCAAGAAGTGAAGTGAGTTTTCCTCCTCTGTTATCTGCACCTCTGAATAGAGATACATGAATGCTCTTAGCCAGCAAAGTGTGAGCATTTAGATTTCCTCTGGGTGCAGACATTTCTAAGTGCTCTCAGAATTTCTGTTATTTGAAGGATCCCTTGAAAATGTCTCAGTCACTTTTCAAGACTGATTCCTCAATGGCACTGAAACACTATTTATACCACAGATGCAATGTCTACAGATCTCAACTTTGTCCAAATTGTGAGTTGGGAGGGAAGGATTTCTTCATGGCTTCACACCTATCACTGAGCTTTATCCTCACAAAAAGGTGAAGTTCCTGCCTATATGACAGCAATATTTATCAGTATGTTATAATTCATACACATACAGTACTTTGTAAACTTAATAAATTATTAAGTTTCCCTAATAGGTAAATAAATACATAAGTTGAAGAGCCACATAGTAAATATTTCAGGCCCTGTGCTCTATTGCAACCTTTCAACTCAGCTGTTAATAGTGTGAAAGCCACCATAAACAGTGTGTAAACAAATGTGTGTCACTATATTCCACTAAATTTTTATTTATGGACAACAATGAAATTGGATCTTTGTATTTTTTATCTCAGAAAATATGATTCTTTAAAAAAATTTTATTCAGTGTGCCTTAGTGGCTCAGTTGGTTGAACGATTTGCTTTGGCTCGGGTCGCGATCTCACAGTCTCTGCGTTTGAGCCCCTGTGTCAGGCTCTGTGCTGACAGCTTGGAACCTGGAGCCTGATTCAGATTCTGTGTCTCCCTCTCTTTCTGCCCCTCTCCCACTCTCTCTCTCTCTCTCTCTCAAAAATAAATAAACATTAAAAAAAAGAAAAGAAATTAAAAATTTTTTTCAACAATTAAATAGTGTAAAAACCATTCTTTGCTAGTGGGGTCATACTAAAACAGGTGGCAGGCTTCATTTGGCCCATAATTTATTGAACCCTGCTTTAACCCATAGCTTTGAAAATAAATCATAAAACCTCTTTGCTTATGTTTCCTTCTTAAGTTTTTTATCAACATTAACTCATCCTACTTGATTTGGAGAGAAAATCAGTGGAACTATGAAAACACATACAGAACAATTATTGCAGCATATAAATATGAGGAATTTCACATTTTACTTTTACAGAGTTATAAAAGTAGTGAGAAGACAAAAAATCAAGAGACATCAAGACAATTTTCCTTGCAATATGTACTTTGAGAAAAATTGCTATAATTATTCATTTACTTTCACTACTCTTTGACTTAATTTTTTCCTAGAAAAATGTACTCCTAGATTCATAATGGATTGTGAATTTTGCTTTCTAACAAATGACTGTTCATTATTCATAGTCATAGAAAACCCCACAATAAAAATTACTTTTTCTGATTACAAAAGCTATATTTGTTTATTTTAGATTACATGGAAAATGCACAAGAGCACAGTTTACTTCTAGTTC